ACTACAGGCTGCACTGTGCTACTACTAGCTGCACTGTGCTACTACAAGGCTGCATTATGCAACTACTAAACTGCACTGTGCTACTACTAGCCTGCACTGCGCTACTACTAGGCTGCACTGTGCTACTAATAAACTGCACTGTGCTACTGCTAGTCTGCACCGTTCAACTACTTGGCTGCATTATGCAACTACTAAACTGCACTGTGCTACTACTAGCCTGCACTGCGCTACTACTAGGCTGCACTGTGCTACTACTAAACAGCACTGTTCTACTACTAGACTACACTCTGCTCTTAGTAGGCTACATTGTGCTACGACTAAACTGCACTGTTCGACTACTAGGCGGCACTGTGCTACTACTAGGCTGCACTCTGCTACTACTAGGCTGCGTTGTGTTACTACAGGCTGCACTGTGCTACCACTAGCCTGCACTGTGCTACTACAAGGCTGCATTATGCAACTACTAAACTGCACTGTGCTACTACTAGCCTGCACTGCGCTACTACTAGGCTGCACTGTGCTACTAATAAACTGCACTGTGCTACTGCTAGTCTGCACCGTTCTACTACTTGGCTGCACTGTGCTATTATTAGGCTGCTCTATGCTACTACTAAACTGCACTGTGCTACTGCTAGGCTGCACTGTGTTACTACTAGGCTGCATTGTGTTACTACTACGCTGCACTGTGCTACTACTAGGCTGCACTGTGCTACTACTAGGCTGCACTGTGCTATTATTAGGCTGCTCTGTGCTACTACTAGGCTGCATTGTGTTACTACATGCTGCATTGTGCTACTACTATCCTGCAATGTGCTACTACTAGACTGCACTGTGCTATTATTAGGCTGCACTGTTCTACTACGAAACTGCACTGTTCTACTATTAGGCTGCACTGTGGCACTATTAAACTGCACTGTGCTACTGCTAAACTGCACTGTGCTACTACTAGCCTGCATTGTGTTACTACAGGCTGCATTGTGCTACTACTAGGCTGCAATGTGCTACTACTAAACTGCACTGTGCTACTATTAGGCTGCACTGTGGCACTACTAGGCTGCACTTTGCTACTACTAGGCTGCATTGTGCTACTACTAGGCTGCAATGTGCTACTACTAAACTGCACTGTGCTACTATTAGGCTGCACTGTGGCACTACTAGGCTGCACTTTGCTACTACTGGGCTGCATTGTGCTACTACTAGGCTGCAATGTGCTACTACTAAACTGCACTGTGCTACTATTAGGCTGCACTGTGGCACTACTAGGCTGCACTTTGCTACTACTA